AAAACAACTAAATTAAGGAGGAAACAAAAAAAAAAGAAAAGCTACAATAGACATAATAAATTTATGTATACATAGAGCTGAACGTATACATACACAGATGCGATCCCTATAACATTGGACATACAGTTAGTAACTCAAGGGCATTTAACTACACAGAGCTGTTCTGATTTTGCATAGCGTACAATTTACAGGATCCCAGCTCACAGAAATCATCATGCACCATGCATGGATGGGGAGTTACTTTTGCCCTTCGATCAGATTTATGAGTCGGTGTAGCTCATGCAGATTTTTCTAAAATGTTTTCATTATTTTTTATTTTTTTTTAACTTTCTCGAGTGTGTGTGGCACACAATTGATTGGATACATTAACCAAGGACTGGTGGATCCTTGAATTAATCTAGAGTTGGAAGCAGACATCAAGGTGACATAATTTTGGAAATGACCTTGCCATGACCTTCGCCTGGTTTCGTTATTTTGTTTAGTGTTGTTCTCTGTTGTCAGGCTTTTAATTTTTAAAATTTATTTATTTTTTTTAGTTCTCTTGGAAGATGGCTCAACAGAAAGTGTCTGGCAGACAGGAAAAAAAGGTGAAAAAGGAAGAGGAAATAGTATAAAAAGGAAAAACATAACAAAGGGCATCTAAGAACAACCAGACTAGAAGTCAGGCAGCTACCACTGATGTTAGCTCATGCCTCTACGAGAATATTAGCTACTCGCCAGCAGAAGAGCCATACGGTCAAACGCACGCAGAGCGAGAAGTCAGCTTTTTGGTTATAGGTCATGCAAAAAAATGACACAGAAAAGGAAAGAGATAAGAGGAATGAAAAAACCAGACCAGTTAGAGAGTTGCAAAGTCCGCCACATGGTTTATGGTGGTGGAAAGAGCTCACGGCAAAGTCAACCAAGTGTCATGTTCCCTGCTGCTTTCAACTCTTGGTTGTTTTTTTTTTGTTTTTTTTTGTTTTTTTTTTCTCAGTTCAAGAGAAGCTCCATACCTGCCAAATTTGGTTGGTCTCTCAAATGCCCATTTTTTGGCCTTTGTTTGGTTAGATAAGGTCAGACGGCCGAGGAAAAGCTGTGAAGGTGCTGAGGCTGGCGACGTTTGGCGCCCGAGGCCGACGCCGGAGTGCGCACGCCAAATATCTCAGCCTGGAGCCGGGGAGCGGAGAGAGCAGGCGCGGTGAGGACGAAGCACACCCAAGAGTCAGGGGTTATCAAAGGCAAGGCACGGTACAGACCGGACCAGCTCCTCGGCTTTTCCCAGCGGCATCTCCTTGGGACAGCACTCCCCAAACCCACTAGTGCACATACGAGACTGGTTACAGCGACCGCAGGAGAGACGCTAGAGAGAACAGGGCTGCACCGGCTTTTTGGGGAGGGTGCAGCGTGTCCCCCCGCCCCGGGTTTGGAAATTCAGAGTGGTGCAGGAGACAGCCGGGGGCCTTCCCCCCTCTCCCGGTTCACACCCGCGCTGGCGGCATAATTGAGCCCAGCACTTTATCGATTAACGCTTTCCTTTTCATTGATACGCTTCAGCTGCTGCTGAATGTTTTCTCTTAATACAAGTGGCTCCGCGTACGAAGGGGACACCTGATCTGACCCAGAGTGAGGCAGGACGTGCGCAATTTGCTGTAGCGTATACCACAGGCTTTGCAACCAGAATGACCGAGCATCTCCCCTCCGTGCATCGCACAGACACACGGGGAGGACACAATCATGTACAAATGTAAAAACACATCTCAGTTGCAAGATGTTGCTGCTCTGCATCCCCCATGGCTGTGTGCTGTTTCCTGCTAACCCATTTTGTACTGGCTGGTGTGGGAGCCCCAGAGCAAAGCTCCTCTTTGCTACTTGCCGTGTCAAAACTGTAACTGTGTAGAAACCTGCAAAGGCTTTGTACAGGAGATCCTCGGCTACCCAAAGCCTTTGGGAGGAGAGAAGAAAGCGGAGGGCAGTCAGGGGAACAGAAAGCAAACATAATTAGCTGGTTTCTAAGCAGAGTCCCTCACAGAACATTTTTAATGACATTTTTATCACCCTTGCTGATTTAAAATAAAAGCATGGAGAAACACACAGATGCTGCTGGTGGGTTAAACCAATCCCTCCTCTGCAGCAGCCGGCAGCCCGGAGGTCACCGTACTTACCCCGTGCACCTCGCCAGCCCCACACCGCGCTGCACAGCCCTGGCGGGGAGCGGCGCCGGCGACTGCACCCCCCGGCACAGGAAGCACCGCAGCTGACATTGGTTTTGGTTAAGAAATAGAAGCTGAGGACTTCTCCTGAGCTGGGCTTTGCCGTCAGGTGAAGCTGACTTTCCTGCAGCAGCAAGGCTCCATAAGGACCCTACAGAAATCCTGCTTCGCTTACACGGTCTGATTCCTCCCTGTTACCAGCAGTTAGGAAATGAGAGCGTTTTCCCAAAAAAAGTCCAGTCGTAACCAGAACATACACACAGCACAAACCAGTCCATCCCTGTAGGAAATGACAGTTACACTAAGAAACCTCTGTTCCTTTCAAATTCCAGAAACAAGTGTTGAAGCTTCCTGAGGCTGCCTGCCCTGGTCTCTACACGTTGCTTCTCCCCCCAGCTTTGCCTGCCAGCTGAGTAAATACAACCACTGCTCTGTCCACTCCTCATCTACCCGGGAAAGGTTCTGGTCTTATAAAATCCACCTTTTCCTTCCCCATCCTTAAAGAGAAGACGACATTACTGAAAAGCAAGGAGCCGCTTTCCGAGCATGGCGAAGGTCAGAGCAGCATCCCTGCGAGCAGGTCCCCATGCTCCTGTCGCTGTACCTGGGTGCCTGGAAATGCTGTTGTATCCCAGGAGCACGGACACAAGCTGTCCCAGTGCCAGCTAACACTGGGAATGCCTTGCTGCCTCCCTTTCCTGTCCCTTCCCAACTGCTATTAGCTTGTGGGAGACCTCCAGCAGCTCAGGCAGGCGTTGGCTGAGGTGTGAGGATGGGGAGGCAGCCGCCGGGTGCCCCGTGTAAAAGGACAGGCTGCTGCTAAAGGAGGAGTGAGACGTTAAGAACCCCACATAATCCCCCTCCTACCAGTAAATCCACAGCAAAAGACCCTCCTAGTGCCTTCAAACTTCCCCAAGGTCCCACGCAGGAGCAGCGGTGCTGCTGGGATGGGGCAGCCCTGCCCGCGCTGCTGGGAGGCATTAAAGATTACGTTTCCATCACTGTTATATGAAGTGATATAAATTACTTCACCTGCTTCTGGACCCATTGTGGTGCTTTTTCCTTCTTCATGTTGGGTCTCGCATTAAGGGAAGGGCTCTTGAAACACTGGCTTCTTAATGTCACTTGCTATTTCTAAACCAGTCTTTAAACCCTCGTGCCTGTAAATACCCCAACGAGGATCAGCCCCAGCAGCCGCGTTACAGAGGAATAACCACTCGCCCATACAAATTAAAAGTCCCGTTAACTTTTCCTGCGCAGGACAAGAGACAGAACCACTTACAGGTGAGCTCAGATGTCACTGAACAACCATGTTCCCACCGCCGACAGGAAGGACGAGCAGCTTTCTACTGAGCGGGAGGCAGAAAGGATGCTGCGGTCAAGAGCCTGCCCAGGCAGAAGCACACGCACAAATCCCATCTTTTTTCACCAGTGCATGAGAGGAGACCTGGTTATTTCTACAGCACACAGTCAAGTCAATCTTTTTTGTTTTCCTTGGTGATTCAGTGCTGTCACGTGAACTATAAGGACACTGATGGTTTTCCTAATCACAGAAACTCCATATTCCCCCGCCCCGCTTATATTTCCTACCATGCCCAAGCCACTTCCACTGGCTTTGTCATTCCTAAGGCAATTTCTGAGCACAGCAATTCAATTTTCCTTGCCCAATGACAGCAGAGAGAGCATGCTAACCAGGTCAGGCAATGCAATACGAACCAACAGGCCACCACTAATGCACACCAAGGGTCACCGGCACAGCGCCTTCAACCCATCCCACGCTCTGCAATGGGGACACAAACAATACTTGCACGTCTTGGCTAGCTATGGATGACCTAAATATCTTCGTTCCAGAGGCAGTAATGTGCAGCGTGAACATCTTGCCATGACTCCTTTGAATTTGCAAGGAAAAAACCAAAGAGAATAGTCTCAGTTCCCATGACAAGTCCCATGCCATTGCTACCTTTTTTTTAAATTCCATTAGGAATTCCATCTAGTAGGAACAACACAGATCTACCTTTGTTAATCATCTTCAGTTTTACCGATTAATATGACTGCTGTCCCTCTCTCCTCCCAGGTTACAGATCTGAGGCTTTTCCTCCTGTAACTGCAGCTTACGGAACATAAAGATAAGTCACAAATGAGACAAAATAGCCTCGTTATGCGAAAACATAATCCATGGAGTTGCTCAGTTAAGGCAGGACGTTCCCATGCTGTACAAATACAGCAGAGAGCCCTGCAGCTCCTTGTGATGGTCTTGCTAAAGGCAGATGCAGAGGGAGGTGGAACACCTTGCAGACAGTGTTTTGTGCTGGGAAGTGGGTCTAGTTTTGCCTTGTGAGCTCCAGCTGTGGGCTGTGGCTGGCAGCAACGGGACTGATGAAGGCACTGCTGGAATTTCCCTGCAGGTTTGCTCCACTCCCTTGGGAGCTGGGCACTCAGGGAAGCACTTTAGATCCACCAACAGCGGCATTAGAAGGTGTTTGGGGCAATGGGAGAGGCTGGATTCACCAGCACCGGGGTTTTCTATGCAAAGCATGGTCTTTAGGGGTATAGGGGCCTAGAATCACAGATGCAGAAAGATTTCTTTATTTTATTTACATCTTTCTGATCCGGACATAGAGAAGTACTTGCTTTCCCCAACTCCCACTGTGTCGCTCTTTGTGGCAGGGAATCAGAGAGAAAATATATCCCTTCTGGAGTGATGGCTTAGCACACAACAGCCCTTTCTAGCTGCTGCAGGAGGATGGGTACTCGGTCTTTTAAAACAAAGAGTGCAATAAGCCACCAAAAAACTGCATGAGCATAGAGCTGCGCCTTACTTTTACGGGCAGGGACAGGTCAGGGGGTGCTTCACCCAGCCCTGTCTAACCAGCTCTTTGCTCAGTCTCATTTCAAAGGATTCACAGTAAACCTCTTGTTGGTGAGCTTTTTTCAGTGGGGTAAACTGACCCTACAACCACACTGGTCCCAAGGCCCCCCTGCTAACGGAGGTTAACAAGGCGAGCCCCTGCTCCGTGCTGACGGCTGGCTGTATTCAGACTGCGGCTTCATCCACCTGCACTGCGCTTTGCCTTAGAGAAGTGCAAAAAGCCCTTGTGAAATCCTGTGATTGTTGTCACCAGGGTGCCCAGCACACAAGGAAAAGCTGTTCTCCCTGTGCACCCAGCTCTGCAAGCGTTTTTTTTTTGGCACCTGAGGCGCAGCAGGGCTCTTTCCCCCTCAGGGCTCCATGCCAGAAATGCAAGCTCTAGGAGCTGGTCATCCAGAGATGTCTCCGTGGCTCTGTGCAGCTGAAGTGCCCGGGCATCTCTCTAGAAAATGAAGCTGGAGGAGCAGCATCCAGCTCACTCTCTCAGCTGCCTCCTCTTTGTGTTTTCTAAGTGAGAAGCAATAAAAGCTGATTTACGTCATTAAAGCCAGCAGATGTGACGGATGCAGACAGACGACAAATCAGCAGACTGAAGAGATGCTGCTTTTATTGCGGGGTTTTTGGAGAGGAATTACGTTAGCAGGGAGGAGAGCGAATGCTTGGGGGTTCAGCGGGGAGAGGGGTGCTGCGTTTTCCACCTGCCATTTGTGCTGGGAGTATAAAGGCGTGAGGAGATCCGACACTGTCACTTTTTCCTATTTGCATTGGCGTTGCTCAGGGTTGTTTATTTGGGTTAGGCGGGGGTGTCCTGCAGGCGCAGCAGTGACGATGCTGAATCCTTTCCGCGTTTACACCGAATGTGGAAATGAACAGCAGCTGCCTCTGCCCTCCTATTGCTCAGCATCCCCAGGAAAGCTTTGTGAAAAGGGATTGAAATAGCAAGCAAATGTCAGCGCTGTGCCAGGCTTGCCTGCTTTCTGGATGCAAGAGCAAAGTCGGAGCTGCACAAATCCCCATTTCTGCAGCGGGGTGCTTCAGAGGGGAGGCTGAGCTGGCACCCTGCTCATCACTGGGGTGGTGCTGGGTGATGGAGAGTCACTGGCAGAGCTCAGCATCCCCAGGAGAGATGCTGTAACCTCCATCTCAGAGGAGCTGAGTTTGGGCTGACATTTCAGAAACGGCATTGGCATCCAGGCCCTTCCATTTGGTGCTCCGTGGCTTTGAACCCCAGGCTCTGCCCTGGGCAGGCTGGCACCCAGAGGTGACCTGTGTTAAAGGCTGCCTTTGGCTTCACACTGGGAGTGTCACAGTGCGAGTCATACCTACAGGCACCTTGTTCTCAGCTCAGATCACAGCTTTGCTCCCTGCCCCACAGGTCTGCCCTCTCCCTGCACGTTCTGCTTCATCTCCTGGGTGTGTGCTCCCTGCCCAGCTGCAGAGCTCTATGCCATCGAGCTAAGGGCTGGGCTTTTCAAGTCACATCAGGAGATTTTGGTTCCTTGCCAGTAAATCCTACAGGACTGAGCATCCTTGAGCACACCAGGGCCAGGGTCAGAGGGAGGTGATGACTGAGGATTATAAATAAGTGGACGTGAGAGGGTGTAGGGCTTCTCAGTCAGCCTGGAGGGACACAGACGTGATGTTCATACCACCCTGAATTCTGGCATCAAACAACACAACCAACCAGGTGCCTTCATCAGTTTGCCAGAGCTCATAAACCCAGGTCAAAAAGGCTGGAAACCACAGCCCCTCAGTCTTTTTGGGAAGAGATGACTGATAGAGTCCCTCCATTTGTTCCTCATCAACAGCTTTCTGCAAGCCTGACATCCTCACCAGCAGGAGAATGAAGAGCCTCAGAGACACAGTGCTGGTGGGAGCGAGCCCTCCATGCTGCCGCAGACTGGGCACAGAGGAAATAATTTCCAAGTCTGAGTACAGCCTCTGATTCCTTTTCATGAGACAAATGCAACTGGGTGCCCGCCACAGTCGTCGTTAGTCCCCAGAGCATGCATCCCCATCACACCGAATGAATGGCCGGAATACAGTAACGAGCCCTCTCTCATCCTTTCTGTGTATTTAATTCACTCCTATTAATTGCACTCTAATACCAGGGAGCACACAGCTCCTCACCAGCTTTATTTCCAGATGGTATTTTGAGCCTAATGTCACAGTGGGAAGTCATAAAAGCCCTCCCAGAGCAAATTACCTGAGGAATCAAACAGTTCCACTCGCACTCAGGAAAATGAATCTCTGCAGCCTGAAGAACCAGGTTACGCTCCCAGCCCACGCCTGCCTCGGGCGTGCTCGGCCGTCCCGCAGCTCCGCACCGCGGCATGACCGCCTCCTTGCACTTGCTCCAAAAGCCCACCTAGCTACAGCGCCTCTTTCTGGGCAGAGGGTCCCACTAACCCATGTGGAAAACACACAGGTCAGCTGGAAAGGAGAAATAAACCACTGCGACTGGACCGGTGCAAGGAGGCATTACCTGGGCAGGCAGGCTTGATTCCAAAGAGCGCAGAGGAGGACAAATCTCCCCAGGACTGCAGAGCTAAGGGGCAGTGACTGACAAAAGCACGTTACCGCAGCACCCCCCTGAGCATTTGGCCATCTCCGAGGAGTCGCTGGCTATGCAGTATCCCAGAAAGAAGAGTCGGGGCCTCCAAGACCCAGGTTAGACTCACCGTGGTTTCGTCTTCATGGAGCACCTGGTCGTAGCCACTCAGCGCCACACAGAAAATGATCGCTGTGACATCCTCGAAGCAGTGAATCCACTTCTTGCGTTCTGACCGCTGGCCCCCGACATCGAAGAGCCTACGGCACAGGAGAGGACCATCAGCTCTCTCCTAGTTATGAGGAAACTTCTGCATTCTTGGCATTTTCTGACCATGGGTGGCTCCTAACACAAACCAACAGCTCTTTCACCACTGGCTGGGTCTGCTCCTCCAGAGCCTGGCCCCAAGGAGGACCAGGAGCAGCAGTCCCAGCGAGGGATGTGGGGACTTGCAGGAGAGCCTCAGCAGTGTGCTGGGTCCCAACGGGTCTGTGGAGGTGGAAACTGCACGCTCTTGAGTTTTACATGCTCTAAACACTGGTTTTGTGTGTGGCTTTCTGTCTTCATGCCCTCCTCTCTGCTGGCTGCCATCATGAGGATCACTACGCAGCGTTACCCACCCGCTTTAGAGGAAAGATTTGGCCAAATATTTTTACATTCATGAGCCGGATCACACCTGTGGCCAATGATCTTATATTATACCTCCCCACAAAGTGGTGTGGCTTGGGTTAGAAGGTACCATGAGCTCCCACCCTGAAGGCAGGGATTTTCCAGACAAGACTGGCAAGCACTGCACATTGCTGACCCCCCCCCCCGAAAGCCATGTTCTCTGCAGTGGGAGCCACTCTGCGTCAGCCAGCAGTTTAACTATTTCTCCTTTGGGAACTATGGGGAAACACTGACAACTAGACACCCTGAAAATTTCTGTGTCCTTTCAGACTCACCTGAAGTGGAGGTTTTTGAATGTGAAGTGGGTTTCTACGATGCCGGTTGTTTTGACCCTGGTTCGGAGGATATCCTGCTCCGTGGGCTGGTAGTCTGCAGCTCCGATTCGATCTAAGCTGTCTAGGTAGCTAAGAGAAGAAGAAAAAGAAAGAGAAAATAGATAAGAATAAGATGCACATGAATCTTTGTCAATCTCAGAAGAATCCTTCAGCTTCCTATTAATCTTTTTCAATCTCATTTTTCATGGCTGAAGGTACCGTAGTTAAAGGAAAAAAAAAATCCTCTTCTGGGAAAAAAGCAATGTTAACAAAGCCCACTAACCTAAGCATGAAATCTGATCGTGAACTGAAAGCAGGAAATTAAGAGTGTGTGTTGTGAGCCCTGACTGCAATCTGTCAAAATACACAGTTTTAATATTACTTGCTATTTTTATTCCCTGAGGGGTGAAGGTCCCAGTCGGTCCGTTGTGCTGGATGCTGTACGCACACATGCTTTCCTGTAAGGGTTTATGCAGGTAAGAGGCTGGAGCATACAGGTCTCGCTCCCAGAACGGACGGATCGAGGCACCTTTGGGAGATGCCTCTGTCCCCGCTGGGAAGGGAGGGAGAGGGGGCAGCTTGCTCCGATGAGATGCCTTGCCTTCAGTCAGCTCGTATTCAGGGAGACAAATCGACCCCAGTGAGTCAGTGCTTCGGTCGGAAACCCAGCAGAGCGCTGGGACCACAGGAGATGCAGCGCTTGGACACCAGCCAGGGGCCCGCTGAGATGCTGATAATCAGGGAGTTTAAATCGGGCTTTTTGGGGGCGTGGAGGGGAGACTTAGCTTTCTAAAACACTTGGATATTTTTAAAACATTTACCCTTATTCTGCTCTAGGCTTAAAATCTATGAACACAGGCAGTGCCTTCAGAGCCTGACACTCTGGGGAGGAAGCCCTGTCTTCTGGTGTGAAATATTTTGGTAGAGGAACCCTACAGCTGCACACACATGCCCACAATCCACGTTTTCATCCATGTTCAAGACAATTTTTCTAACTCAGCCCAACTAAATATAATTTCTAAAGAAAAGAAGAATTTGATTTGGACTACAATTTAATACAAACGATAAACACAGAGCTGCGTCACACAGGAAAGTCCTTCCCATCACCATCGAGCTGCACACAGACACTCTTGACTTTCTCTTTCAGTTTAGCTAAATGTGATTTATTTTTTTTTTTAAGAGTGTGGGTTTAGTCCTGATGAGTAACCCAGTCACACTGACTTGGCAGCGAGCACGCTCCCCCCTGCGCCTTGCCAAAGCACATCCCAGCCCGTCCCGCCACTGGAGATGCTTTCCCTGCGGCACCGGGGAGCAGAGGAAGGCTTTCCCCTTGCGTCCTGGAGGGAGTGCTCTCAGGCCATGCTCTCTGCTACCCGAGAAAACTCATTGCCACCGGTTTTCATGCCTACCCAGGGAGCCTGGAAAAACAAACAGACAACCAAACTCTATGTTGAGGTGGAAAACAAACCTCAGCCAGCTCACATCGTGGATTTTGGCTACGTGTCATTTTTATCATTCATTTTTACTAAAGACTTACGAGAATCGCATCACCCAGAGAAAAGTATATAAGCTAAGCAGGCTTATCTTTATTGTGCCCTTTTTCAAGCATTTAAAGCCATTGTGGTTTTGTGACAGATGCTCCCTTAATAGCCTTATGATGGGCCCTGGATGGATGAATGGGGCTTCACTTGAAATCAGATCCTCCGCCACGACGGCTGAAGCCACGATCACTCATCTATTCACAACTGGTGTCAACTCCTGTTATTTAAGAGACAGCTGCATTTCTTCACATGTCCCCGCAGACCGAGGCGGCTCTGCAGCAGTTCCTCAGGAATGAAATACTTCAAGGTGATGATAAAAAGTGGAGGTGGAAGAGAGGGAAGGGTTTTCGTTCTTGCCGCTCTTGGTAGTACCCTGAAGACCTTTATCACTTCCTCCATATTAATTTTCTGTATTTTCCTTTGATCCAACTCTTTTCAAGTTAACGTTCCCTATTAATTATTCTTGCCTTTGAGATCCTCCCTTAATGCTGGGAGTGTAGCAAACGAAGAAATCTACTGCAAAGTAGCCAAAGGACTGGGCAGCTCAGCAGCACAGTGACAGAGGAGTTCGCTGCTGTAATTACCGCCTTCAACACGCGACGATTTGCTTGTGGACAGCAGCATCCTTCAAACCCCAGGCCACGTGCTGGGACTTCAGGGGGGTTCTCACTCTCGCTACCGATGTGCACAGCCTGTGGGGCTTCCGTGCGCCGTTCCCTGTGGCTGCCCGAGAGTGGATCAGCTCCCCATTTGATTTGACCCTGCACACAGCCTGGCGCTGAGGCTGGGAAAGCCTCACCTCCCTGTGCATCCTTGCCCGTGGCGGTGAGGCAGCCTCATGTGCCTGGCTCCACCCCAGTTACTCCGGGGAATCAGAGGTTTGGGGGAGCTGCTGCAGCCTGACAGCCTCTCGAGGGGGCAGGATGATAGCGACGGAGGGAGGAGAGCCCATCCATCCCCTCCACTCTCTCCTCCCTGACAGCATCCCGCTTCCAATCCCAGTTGGGGTAGCTCCACAGGAGCCTCAGCTGGGGGGTCTCTACCATCTGTCTGGTCAGGGCACTGCATCCCACTGCTTAACTGGTGCTGCGACAGAGGAATACCCAGTATCCCCACTACTCAGCCTGTCCTGGCTCCAGGTGAGCTGAGCCCTGCGGGTCCGGTGCCTCGGGGTCACTGCCATGCTCACGCACCCAGCCCGGCTGCCAGCACCCCGGCGCTGACACCTGCTTGCCAACACACCCTCTGCCTTTCAGTTAACTCCTCTCTTTGTCTCTTTCCTCATCTCAAGTCTGTTCCATCATTCTCCATGTGCTTCTCAATGACTTAAATTCTTTCAGCTGCCTGGGTCTGCTTTTTGTCTGTCCCTGGTAGTCTCGATGAGGGTCAGCCATCCATTTATATGAAGGTATATTCTCAAACTGTTTACTCCTTTGGCTGCAGCAGATATTTTTTCCTCCTGGACTTGGTGGCAGCAGAGCCGGGCCTCACTGTCACGTGCACCCCAGGATGCTCAGCCGGAGGAGCATGCCACGGCACAGCTGCCACGCTAACACCCAGCTGTGGGAGCGGGAAGCTCAGGCAGGCTGCTATTTGGATGCTGAGCTGATTTCAGCTGCTGCTTGTTCTCCTCGGTTCCTGCTGGAGGTATCTCCGAGGCTTCACCGCAGCGCTTATGCTCCTGCCCATGCTGCTCGGGAGGAGCTGCAGGTCTGCTGGGTGCGAGCCTGGGCTGGCAGAGGGTGGGATGTGGTGGGGGTGTCACCTCTTTGGGAACAGGGAAACCCACGGGGGGACGAATTACTACGTGTGGCGCTGGATGAGAGCACTCCTGGTATGCCCTTTGAGCCACGAATCTCAAGACCAAAGTGTTGCTGGAGATAATTAGTGTCGCAGCCAACAGGCTGGATGGCACATAATCCCCTCAGAAGCTGGCATCTGTTTAACCAGCAGAAATAAGAGCACTTTGGAGGCTGCGGAGCGAGTGCTCGGCTCGCTCTCTCCTGCGTCATCTTCGTTGCACAGTGCTGGCATCAGAGCTCCTTCTACCTCCCAGCTCTGGGTTTTACACGCTGGAGTGGAAGCATATCTGAAACGACACATCAGCTCTTGTTTGCAGCCTGTGTTGCCCAGGGCTTGCAGGGGTTAAAAAAAGCTGAAGAAAGGTTAGAAGGTTTTTAAGTACATGAGTAACCCTGTAGCATTTATACTCCTGAGCGGAGCAGCTCCATTACTGCTGATATCTTTTATCTGAACTGCTTTGTTTTGAAGCAGATTGCAGGTGTCTGAGTCACTCAGTGTATGGGCTCGGGGAGGTGAAGCCCGACTCTGTTACGCTCCTCAAAGCAAAATGCACGAGAAATGGCATTTCCCATGTCCCAAATACAGCGAGAGGAGCCCAGTGAACTGAGGCTATGAAAGGCAGATGCTCTGTAAGGACCAGCTGATAGTGAATATTTCCATACAGTAACATAAAATATAATTAATATCAGTAAATAAATACAAGTAATATAAAAAATATTTTTCATATAGGGAGTACAGCCAGTTTCCTGTGCCTTCATTGCCTTCCTTTGCTGTTTCCAAGAGCACATGGTGGCAGCGCCACATCGATGCCAGGGACACTGCAGGCAGAAAGGGAAGTTGGAAGAGGTAACCACAGGGAA